AACCTCCGCCTCCTGGGTTCAGGCAATTCTCCTGCCTCAGCCTCCTGCGTAGCTGGGATTACAGGCACGCGCCACCATGCCCAGCTAATTTTTTGTATTTTTAGTAGAGACGGGGTTTCACCATGTTGACCAGGATGGTCTCGATCTCTTGACCTCGTGATCCACCCGCCTCGGCCTCCCAAAGTGCTGGGATTACAGGCTTTAGCCACCGCGCCCGGCGAAGCTCTACCTTTCTACCTTCCACCTGTGACCCTGACCCCCAACACACTAACAGCCCCCTGGCATCTGACCAAGGGGGCTTATGAAAGCAGCACCTTCCTACAAATCAAAAAAATAAGCCCTGTCCTCCAAGTAGACTCAGCCTTGACAGCCTCAGGGCCGGGTTCCCTGTGCGGCGCACAACCTGAAGTGTGCATGGTGGTTCTGCTGCGATACCCTGAGGGCCTGTGGTTTTGTGCTCCACCCCAGGCCTCACCTTCACCCAGGGTGCTAGCTAGGGTGGGCGCGGAGGCTGAGCTGGCCCCCCTTGGTGTGTAGGCCTTGATGTAGAAGCTGTAGGCGGTGGAGGGCTCCAGGTCGCTGACCAGGTGCTGAAAGGTGCTTTTGCTGACGGCTTCCTGATACTCCAGCTCTGGCGGGTCTGGAGAGGCACAGGGTGGGCATGGGAGTATGAAGGACTGGGGGCATTTCACCAGCATTGGCGACATGAGGGTAGCCAGGGTACAGAAGCGGGAGAAGCAAAGGGAGGCGTCAGGTCAGAACGTGCAGGATGGGAAGGGATGAGGACTAGTCAGTTAGAGGGAGGGGCAGCTGCGCGCACCAGCAGCCTTCCTGATGTGCAGGACGTAGCCGATGATCTCCTTGGTGTTGGCCAGCGGCTCACTCCAGGACACGCGCACCTCAGTGGACGACACAGAGACCGCCCGCACATTGCGGGGAGGCCCCGGCAGCCCCTCAGCCCACAGTACGGTCAGCCTGGCACTGGCCTGCGATGAGCCCGCACTGTTCTCAGCCACACACTGGTAGATGGCCTCATCTTCAGGACCGATTCCAGAAATGGTCAGTGTGCTGCAGGGGAGAGAGAGCCTCAGGTCCCCTCCTTCTCCCTGGAGGTTGGCCCAATCTCCCCATTGAAGAGATGGAGAAACTGAGTCTTTCCAGGAGACAAAGGACTTGTCTGAGGTCTCCCAGCGAGTTAGTGGTAAACTGGGACTCCAACCCAAGTCTCCAGCCTCCTGATTCTGTCCTCTTCCCCTGCAGGAGGTGCACGGTCTACTCAGGCCGCTCACTCCAGGCCCCCCTTCCCTTGCTCTTCCGGGCCCTCACCCCAGCACACACCACACACGTACCTGTTGTTATTCTTGAGCCTCACGTGGCCTCCTGGCTCTAGCACCTGTCCGTTCTTCAACCATGTGACGTGAGGTGGTGGCTCACCCTGGGCTTGGCAGGTGAACATGGCTGTGGTCCCAGCTGGCCTGGAGATGGACTGGGGGTGCTGCACGAACTCAGCTGGGGCTGCAAGTGGAGATGAGGGGGTGGGAGATGGGGGACAGAGACAGCTGTGAGTGACAGCATGAGGAAGGGCACAGGAAATGCAACCAGAGATACACGGGGCGAGAGGTGGGCTCCAAACACACATCTGCCCCCTGGAGACTCCTCCAGGTGGGGCCCAGCTCAGGAGATGGCCCTCTCCCACTTCCCTCCACCCCAGCAGACCCAAGAGGACTCTATTTTAACGACTATTTAAAAGACTGACATTTGTATCCGAAAGCAATCAAGCTGGGCTCCCAGTTCAGGAAATTGTTAAATAAATAAATGTGCTAATAGGTTTGGCTGCACCTCCAGAAAGCAGTAATGACGGGGGAGATGGATGAGCCTCCGTACCAGGAGCCCCCTCGCCCCCACATTCAATTCCGCTCTCGTCCAATCCCAGGCCTCAGCCTCTATTAACACTGGGAAATGAAATGCTCCATCACTTTCATGTGGACAGATTAACGGCACATGGAATGCTAAACAAACTGGCATTTAAGTTCCTAATTCTCCCACTTCCTGCCCTTTCCCCGGCTCTCCGGCAGGAACAACCATAGGAAAACGCTGAAAATGTTCATCCAAGCCCAGTGCATGGGGACAGTTGAGCCCCAGGGCAAGAGGGAAGGACCCGGTCAGCAGCAGGGCCCCGCCTCGCGGAGGGGACACAGCTCTGCCTGCACAGCGAGGCTGCTGGCGACAGCGTGAAAATGACAAGCAGGCTGGGAGCGCACAGGCAGGCAGGTGTGAGCATGGACGTGCCACATGTGTGAATGAAAACAGCACGTGGGGAGACACGTGTGAGTGACACAGGTGGGGACACCAGCTGAGATGAGAAAGTGGAAATGACTCCCGGGATGTAGGGGTGCTGGTGGCCCCGGAGGGCAGGCAGGAGCCGGCGCATGACCAAGACCCTTCCCAAGGCAAGCATTCCTTGGGGAGAGTGTGCCGCCTTTGACCTGGCCTGGGGGCCGGTGAGGGGCAAGGGGCAGGGCGAGGGCAAATCCAGGAGACTGGGGTGAGACAGGGCCCTGGGGTTGGGCCTGGGCCGGGAGGTAGGGGCTGTGCGGAGGTCCCTGCCCTCCTCCCCGGGGAGGGCTGATCCATACCTTGTACCACCAACCGGCCCTGTGCCGTTCTCCTCACGCGGGTGCCAGGTCTGTTGGCCGCACAGACATAGACACCGGAGTGCTGGACCGTCACGTCTGAGATGATGAGGTTTCCCGTGCCCAGCACCTGGATGCCCTCCACCCCGATAGGGCGGCCATCTGCGGAGGAAGGGGAGGAGAGATGGCTGGGGGTCGGATATAGGTGTGCAAGAGGGAAAGCAAAGGAACCTTCCAGAGGGCTCTCCTTCCTCCCGTCTTCCAGGGAGCCCCAATCTTTGACTCTGCCTCTTCCCTCCCAGGCACGTGAACATGGAAGAGGCAGAGAGAGCAGCACAGAACCCTCGCCCCTAGCAGTGGCGACCCTGTCCTGACTCACGGGCCACCTGCAAGGCCCTTTCCTTCTGATTCACAATCTGTAAAGTAAGAGTTTGGATTTGATTGACATTTCCCAGCCTGGTTTGTCTTTCTGGAAAAAAAGTTCCATGGTCAAATATCCATTCTACGCCTGGACAGTAAGTCACATCACAGTGCCCCCGTGACCGGGTACGGGAACCTGGTTAACTTTGTTTCCCTAACTTGTTAGACCAGCACGCCATTCCTTCCCGCTTGACAGATCATGCTCTGGGGAATGTTGGAACAGATGGTCCCTGGGGTGCCTGGAGGTTCCTCCTAATGGTGAGGCCACTCTTCCCAGCCTCTCCCAGGGACCTGGCCGTCCCCCTACCCCCACCGGGATCAGATTAGCACAGTCGGAATACAAGGAGACAGCTCCCCATTCAAGCCCTGAAGTGGTGAAATCTATTCCATTATCCCGCCTGCTGCCCCCCTTCCCCATCACTCAGCTGCTACAATGTGGCACAGTCTCCCTGTGAATGCAGCCCCACCCCACCCCCTCCAGAGTTTCCTTCCCCAGTGACCTTTCTGCTCAGACAATGTGGGCCCATCTGCACCCTTTCATTTCTCTCCTTCAGCTGCCTGGGGACTTAGGGGGCCAGGCTAGAGACTGGGGGGCCCAGAGTGAGGGTCTGACAACTGGCTGGGATTTTGAGGGGCTTGGGATTGCACAGCTGAGGAACATGACCGGGGTAATGAGGGCAGGGGTTAGCAGGAGGGGACAGATAGTGGGGTGCTGAGGGCTGCTAAAGGGTGCTGGGATCCCTGAGGCCGGGGTGAGGGAGGACGGCCGGACTGGGCAAGGTAACCCAGGGAGCTAAGCCCTCCCTGCAGGGGGAGGGAGAATGGCGTGGGCAGGCGGGCCTCCCTGGTCCTTCCAGGCAAGGGAAACTTACCCTCTTCCCAGGCCACAGGGATGAACAGCCCCTCCAGAGAACAAACAGGATTCCAAATGCCCCTGGAGCTGGGTGAGGAGTCTGAGACCGGCCCTCCCAGGGGGTGGGACAGGCTGGGGGGGCAGGGGCTTTGGGGATGAGGCTCACCCAGGCGGCTCCAGGACACAATGGGGCGAGGGTTGCCCGTGGCGACACACTCAAGCACCGCAGTCTGGTGCACCGTCAGGGTGAGGTTCTCAGGACCCACGAGGATGGCTGGCTCCTTGTAGGCCCCAGAGCCCGAGCCTGAGAGGAAGACACCATGTTTCCTCACTTCAGCTGGGGACTCTCCTGCTTCCTCACCCCACCCAGGACATGGCAGGTGGGAAACAAACACCAGCCCAGAAGCCAGGGCCTGTGGGCAGAGAGATACCAGGGACCAGGGTGTTCCGGACACCCGTCCCTCTGCTGCAGACCCTGCAGGGCCACCAGCGATGGGGTGGTCCTGGAGCTCAGCAGACGGCGTTCCAGGGGGAAATGAGCCGGAGACCTGGCCTCAGATTCCTCTGCACCCTCATGCCAGGCAGCACAGAGCCTGGCATTCTGCAGGTACTTGGCTGAGAAGCCTGAAGAGGCCAGTTGAAGGGGGTTGATCTAAGGGTGGGAGGAGGAGGAGGCCGGGTGGGGAGGTTGGGGGAAAGGGAGGTTGAGGGGCTTGGGATTGCACAGCTGACTGCGCAGCTGTCTACGTCCCCCAGGCCCTGCTCCTTCAAAGATGGGGAGCTGCCTGCCTCCTCTTCACTCCAGCTGGAGAGGAGCTTGCAGTCCACAGGGACCCAGGGCGAGGACTAAAGGACCCTCACCTGACACGGTAAGCCTGGCCCCGTGGCTGATCCGGATACTGGCAATGTTCGAGGCCACACAGTGGAAGACGCCACTGTCCTCAGCCCGAAGCCCTGTGATCTGCAGGACCCCCTTGGGCAGCAACGTGTACCTGTTGAGGGGAGGGACACAGTTGGCCACCAGCACAGCCACATGATCTAAAGACACGGGGCATCCGAGACACAGCCCAGGACCCAAGCACTGCCCCATCCCGACATCATCAGACACACACTGGGACCCTCGAAGGTGGACGTACCCTCAATTCCAACCTTGACATTGATCGCACAGAAACCTCAGCCACACCCACGAACCTAGAATCTCTGCCCAGCAAGTCGTGTGGATACCCATCTAAACTGCAACTGCAGAAACACCCCCATCTCGGGCACCTGTGGGCACCAACTGCAGCTCCCAGAGCCTCGGGCAGTCCTTCTCTGAGGCCAGTCACTGGCCACCTCTTCGTCCTCCCTCTGCCTTTCCCACACGTGGCTCACCTCTCATTGTCCGTGTCAATGGGGACTCTGTTCTTCTCCCATGTGATCAGGGGTTTGGGAAGTCCATGGATTTGGCACTGGAAGCGGGCCACACCGCCCTCCTCGCCCACGGTGGCCTGGGGATGTATGTGGAAGTCCGACATGGCTGGGGAAGAGAAGTGCGTGGATGTGGCACGCTGCTGGGGGCAGAGGGGAGGGGAGAATGGGCTGCACTGCAGTCACAGGCACGGAGGCCTGGAGCCCACTCCATCCAGGGGCAGGAATTCTCCTGCAAGGGCAATCACTTGGAGGACCCATCAGCACTTACTCCAGCCTCCAATAGCCAGGAGACATCTCTCCTAAGAGGTAGTATGGGCTGGGCTGGAATACTTTGTAGAAGGTCTGGACAAACTTCTAGATAACAAATGTCTAATAAAGAAATCCTAGGCTGCTGGGACTTCCCTTGGAGACATTGGTCCCCGCAAAATGACCCATAAAGGGCAATCAGACAAAGCCCTGCTCCCAAGCCCCACACTCCACTTTTTCAGTAGCCTTCAGATTCGTTTTCATAAACTCTCCCTAAGGCAGTCAAGGCCTCAGATCCTCTTCACATTTTCTTCTTTCTTTTTTTTTTTTTTTTGAAGACAACTGTTTCTCTGTCACCCAGGCTGGGGTGCAGTGGCGCAATCTCAGTTCACTGCGATCTCCGCTTCCCGGATTCAAGCAATTCTCCTGCCTCAGTCTCCCAAGTAGCTGGCACTACTGTCATGCCTGGCTAATTTTTTTGTATTTTAGTAGAGACGAGGTTTCGCGGTGTTTCCCAGGCTGGTCTCAAACTCCTGAGCTCAGGCAATCCACCTGCCTCGAACTCCCAAAATGCTAGGGTTACAGGCGTGAGCCGCCGTGCCCAGCAGTGCTTCACATTTTATAGAACTGGAAGCTGAGGCTCAGGGAGGGGAAGCAATTAGTCCAGTGTTGCCCACCAGGGACACTGGTCATCAGACCCTGGTTACCAAGGCCTGGTAGCTTTCTTTTGGTCCCGTCCTCCTCTTCCCACCCCCAGTTCAGCTGCAGTCTCTCTATGCACCCCAAGAGGGTGTTGCATCCATCCAAGGTGACAAGCCTCTCAGAAGACTGTCAGGCCTACCAATCTACATTTCAATGTGTCATAAATATTCAGGGTCCCCTCCCCACCTTTTGGGGATCTGAACTGTGGTCTGCAGAGATCATCAGTGCAGAGGGGCTGTGGCGCACCCTCCCGTGCCAGTTACAGGCTGGTTAGTGTTCCTGCCCACCCCCGTTTCCACCCATGCCCAAACCCCACCCTATAATGCCTGGGGAAGGAGCCCCTCCCACTTGGGTTCCCAGCCTCAGCACCAGGGCTGTGATTTCATTAAAATCCACTTTGCTTCAAGTGCGGGAAGGCGGTGCACCATCTGTCCAGGCCGGCAGCCCCTCATCCCAGGCACTCCATCAACTGGGACAGTTGCGCCCCTCCCAGAGGAAGCCCTCCCCCACAGCAGCAGGGACACTGGAGCTGGTCCTGGCTCCTGTTCATGGCTCCCTGGTGTGGGCACCACCCTCCCTGTGGCCCCCATGCCCCATCTAAAGCCCCCTCAATCCACCGGGCTGATCTGGCCTCCAGCGAGGCCCGAAAGGCGAGCCTTTGTGCCCTTCCACCCAGAGTCCCTGGGGGCTGGCTCCTTTGTGGTGTGTTCTCCATCTCATTTGCATGTGGTTCATTAAATATAAACATGCATAAAAATCCCCCGCCCTGCCTCCTCCTCTTTGAGGGCCTCCTGGGAGTGTGGCTGATGGGTGTGTGCACCTCTTTGTACATGTGTGCGAGGCTGTGTCTCCATGTATGTGGTCTGAGTGTCCATGTCTGGATGCGGTGGATGTGTGCCTCGGGTCTGTACAGGTAATCAATCACGCATAGGTACAGTCCTTATAAACAGTACCTTGGTGCCCTGGGGGTGGGCGGTAGGGGCAAGTGTGCCAGCTTGTGCCCCCATCAGGCTTGGTGAGAGGATTCCCAGGGAGCACTGGGAGGTCAGCCTTCCCGGTCTCAGGCCAAAGGCCATGTCTGGCCAAGGGAGGTCAGCCCAGGGGCTTGGGGGAGGGGGCCGAGGTGCTGCTGGGGCCCCTCTACTGCCTCTAGCCCTCAACCTCCAGGATGGTAACTGGATGCCATGAGCACAGGGAGAAGAGAGGCACCCAGGCTCCAGGGTCAGCTGTCTATGTCCCCCAGGCCCTGCTCCTTCGAAGATGGGGAGCTGCCTGCCTCTTCGCTCCAGCTGGAGAGGAGCTCCAAGTACCTCAGGGACCTGGAGTGGGGACTAATGGCTCTGCTGACTACAGATGCCTCCTCATTAGGGAAGGAATCCTTTTGTGCTTCTCGCCCCATTCTGGGCTCCCTGGAGGCGCCCAGCTAGGAGCTGGCCTGAGGAAATATACAAGGGAAAGGGCTGCTTCTATCAGGGCGCTGGGGATGGAGAAAGTCTGGCTTCCACTGCCTGGCTTCCTCCTCCTCCCCCAGCACTGAGCAGCCACAACACAGCTGGACATGGCGCAAGAGCTGGAAGGGTCACAGGTGTGGGGCCAGTCTGATAGCCTCCACTGTGTACAGTGCGGCTCCTAAGGGTCCCCTGGGGCCCCCTGGATGCAGCTGAGCCCACCTCCTGCACGCATTCCCCCCGTCAGTGCAGCACCTTGCTGTACCTCTCTGTCAGCTTTACTTGGTTACGGTTCTGCCACACATTTAATTTGAAGGGAAGCTTTGCCTTTAAGAGTAACTGAAGCCTGGGCAGGGTGGCTCACAGCTGTAATCCCGGCACTTTGGGAAGCCGAGGTGGGCGGATCCCCTGAGATCGGGAGATCGAGACCAGCCTGACCAACATGGAGAAAATACGATATTAGCTAAGTGTGGTGGCACACGCCTGTAGTCCCAGCTACTCGGGAGGCCGGGGCAGGGGAATCACTTGAACCTGGGAGATGCAGGTTGCGGTGAGCTGAGATAGCATCATTGTACTCCAGCCTGGGTGACAGAATAAGACTCTGTCTCAAAAAAAAAAAAAAAAAAGAGCAATTGTAAACCACGAATCTGAAGCCAATCTAACTGCAGAGTGGCCTGCATGTTGGACTAGCTTCTCACTGTGTAGGGAAAGGTAAGCTGGCTGCCCAGGTGTGGTCCGGGAAGGACAGGCGGAAGAGGAGGCTGTGGTCTTCTTCATCTGGGGCTCCTCCGTCTCTCCCTTCCCTAACCCTCTCTCAACTCTTTGGTCGTCCCGCATGCTCCTTAGGCGTCCTGAGAGCTCTGTGAGACCCTGGGCAGGCAGCACTCTCTCAACCACGAAGGAAGGGAGTGGACAAGCCACTCTTCAGGGCCCCTCCAGCCCTCCCTCCCCATCCGTCTTCATGAACAGGATCCACAATCTCTGGGCCAGCAAACTCAGCTTCGCTGGAGTCTCCTAAAACCTTCCACACACATCTATTTCATAAGCAATAGTATTTTTCCTTTTCTTTTTTCCTTTTGAGACAGGATCTCACGCTGTCACCCAGGCTGGTGTGCAGTGGTGGGATGCAAGCTCACTGCAGACTTGACCTCCCAGGCTCAAGCAATCCTCCCACCTCAGCCTCCCAAAGAGCTGGGATCACAGGCATGCACCATCACACCCAACTAATTTTTTAATTCCTTTTTTTTTTTTTTTTTGAGATGGAGTCTTGCTCTGTCGCCCAGGCTGGAATGCAGTGGCACCATCTTGGCTCAGTGCAGCCTCCACCTCCCAGGCTCCAGTGACTCTCCTGCCTCAGCCTCCCGAGTAGTTGGAATTACATGTGCGCGCCACCACGCCCGGCTAATTTTTGTATTTGTAATACAGACGGGATTTCACCATATTGGTCAGGATGTTTTCAAACTCCTGACCTCGTGATCCACCCACCTTGGCCTCCCAAAGTTCTGGGATGACAGGGGTGAGCCACTGTGCCCGGCCAATTTCTATATTTCTTATAGAGACAGGGTTTCCCTACGTTTCCCGGGCTGGCACAGCATTTTGCTTTTTGAAGTTTGAGGAAAAGGTATGTTGGGGCCACTTTGGCCCCCGCTAGTCCCTCAGGGTAGAACATGTTTGATTCACGAGTATGTTTACGCCCTGCCTTGCGCCAGCAGGACACAGAGTCGGGTAGGCTATCCCGGATTACATCTCTCTAGGGAGAAGGTCCCTGGAAAAACATGAGGAAGTGGGGCTGAGGGCCGGACCTCAGAGCACCCTGAGACCTGAACAAGTCACCCTGCAGGCCACTGTGTTGCTGATGACAGTGCGGACGAGCTAGTGTGTTAGCACTGATGTTTGTGTCTGGTGTGGGTGGTATTGTGTCTGTGGCTGGTGCATGTGACAGTGCTGCTGTGATTTGGTTCTTTACACTCCTGTGGACATCTGTTGGCCTGGTGCAGACAGTTCAAGCTGGCTGATGGGAGAGGGTGATGGGCAATGGTCCTCGAGAAAGTGACAGGGAGGGCAAAGTCCTCCTTGGCAGTAGGTGGGGAGAAAGGAAGGAGAGGCCCCTTTGTTCTCAGTGATCTGGGAAGCAGCCTCCCAGCCCCTCCCTGCCACCACCATAGGTGCAACCAGGCTGTGGGCAGAGACAGAGGGCAGAGAGTGAGCTTAGCAATTCACAGGGTTGGAAGGGAACAGAAACAGGCCGGAAGCAGTTCCTGGACACCCCTATAAATCACCAGACGGGAGGGGTCTCCTGAGAGCCAGCTCTACGGCTGCTCAGGGAGGGGAGGGGGACTTTCTTCCTGGTCCAGGACCTCTGACAAGGTCAGGCCTGGATCTGATTAGACAGGCTCCAGGGGGAGGTGAGGGCAGCAAAGGGTCGAGGTAGAGTTCTGGGAAGGAAGCTCAGGCCCCCCACCCTTTGGCCACAGCCAGACTCCCATCCGGTGTGTGATGGTAAAAAGATCTGGGGCCATGTTTGGATGGAGAGATCAAAACGTAACCTTTACAAAAGCGAGGGGCCCTGGGGGTCTGAGGCGCCGGCTGCCCCCACCTCATAGAGCCATTCAGGAGGGGCAGTTGTGAACCGCAGACTCTTCCGAAGGCCACCAAGGCCCGTTCCCTCCTTGTATCCATCCCTGACAAAGACCAGGGAGATGCAGCCTTC